CCCTACACTTTGAAGAGTTTTGATCAGGAAGGGATGCTGTACTTTGTCAAATGCTTTTTCAGCATCTATGGAGAGTATCATATGGTTCCTGTTTTTTCTTTTATTAATGTGTTGTATCACATTGATTGATTTGCGGATGTTGAACCAACCTTGCAGCCCTGGAATAAATCCCACTTGGTCGTGGTGAATAATCCTTTTAATGTACTGTTGAATCCTATTGGCTAGTATTTTGGTGAGAATTTTTGCATCTGTGTTCATCAAGGATATTGGTCTGTAGTTCTCTTTTTTGATGGGATCCTTGTCTGGTTTGGGGATCAAGGTGAGGCTGGCCTCATAAAATGAGTTTGGAAGTTTTCCTTCCATTTCTATTTTTTTGAACAGTCTCAGGAGAATAGGAATTAGTTCTTCTTTAAATGTTTGGTAGAATTCCCCCGGGAAGCCGTCTGGCCCTGGGCTTTTGTTTGTTTGGAGATTTTTGATGACTGTTTCAATCTCCTTACTGGTTATGGGTCTGTTCAGGCTTTCTATTTCTTCCAGGTTCAGTTGTGGTAGTTTATATGTCTCTAGGAATGCATCCATTTCTTCCAGATTGTCAAATTTGTTGGCATAGAGTTGCTCATAATATGTTCTTATAATTGTCTGTATTTCTTTGGTGTTAGTTGTGATCTCTCCTCTTTCATTCATGATTTTATTTATTTGGGTCCTTTCTCTTCTCTTTTTGATAAGTCTGGCCAGGGGCTTATCAATCTTATTAATTCTTTCAAAGAACCAGCTCCTAGTTTCGTTGATTTGTTCTATTGTTTTTTTGGTTTCTATTTCATTGATTTCTGCTCTGATCTTTATGATTTCTCTTCTCCTGCTGGGTTTAGGGTTTCTTTCTTGTTCTTTCTCCAGCTCCTTTAGGTGTAGGGTTAGGTTGTGTACCTGAGACCTTTCTTGTTTCTTGAGAAAGGCTTGTACCGCTATATATTTTCCTCTCAGGACTGCCTTTGTTGTGTCCCACAGATTTTGAACTGTTGTATTTTCATTATCATTTGTTTCCATGAATTTTTTCAATTCTTCTTTAATTTCCTGGTTGACCCATTCATTCTTTAGAAGGATGCTGTTTAGTCGCCATATATTTGGGTTCTTTCCAAATTTCCTCTTGCGATTGAGTTCTAGCTTCAGAGCATTGTGGTCTGAAAATATGCAGGGAATGATCCCAATTTTTTGATAACAGTTAAGACCTGATTTAGAACCAAGGATGTGATCTATTCTGGAGAATGTTCCATGTGCACTAGAGAAGAATGTGTATTCTGTTGCTTTGGGATGAAATGTTCTGAATATATCTGTGATGTCCATCTGGTCCAGTGTGTCATTTAAGGCCTTTATTTCCTTGTTGATCTTTTGCTTGGATGATCTGTCCATTTCAGTGAGGGGAGTGTTAAAGTCCCCTACTATTATTGTATGATTGTCGATGTGTTTCTTTGATTTTGTTATTAATTGGTTTATATAGTTGGCTGCTCCCACGTTAGGGGCGTAGATATTTACAATTGTTAGATCTTCTTGTTGGACAGATCCTTTGAGTATGATATAGTGTCCATCTTCATCTCTTATTATAGTCTTTGGTTTAAAATCTAATTGATCTGATACAAGGATTGCCACTCCTGCTTTCTTCTGATGTCCATTAGCATGGTAAATTCTTTTCCACCCCCTCACTTTAAATCTGAAAGTGTCTTCGGGTTTAAAATGAGTTTCTTGTAGGCAACATATAGATGGGTTTTGTTTTTTTATCCATTCTGATACCCTGTGTCTTTTGATTGGGGCATTTAGCCCATTAACATTCAGGGTAACTATTGAGAGATATGAATTTAGTGCCATTGTATTGCCTGTAAGGTGACTGCTATTGTATATTGTTTCTGTTCCTTTCTGATCTACTACTTTTAGGGTCTCTCTTTGCTTAGAGGACCCCTTTCAATATTTCCTGTAGAGCTGGCTTGGTGTTTGCAAATTCTTTCAGTTTTTGTTTGTCCTGGAAGCTTTTAATCTCTCCTTCTATTTTCAATGATAGCCTAGCTGGATATAGTATTCTTGGCTGCATGTTTTTCTCGTTTAGTACTCTGAATATATCATGCCAGCTCTTTCTGGCCTGCCAGGTCTCTGTGGATAAGTCTGCTGCCAATCTAATATTTTTACCATTGTATGTTACAGACTTCTTCTCCCGGGCTGCTTTCAGGATTTTCTCTTTGTCACTAAGACTTGTAAATTTGACTATTAGGTGACGGGGTGTGGACCTATTCTTATTGATTTTGAGTGGGGTTCTCTGAACCTCCTGGATTTTGATGCTTGTTCCCTTTGCCATATTGGGGAAATTCTCTCCAATAATTCTCTCCAATATACCTTCTGCTCCCCTCTCTCTTTCTTCTTCTTCTGGAATCCCAATTATTCTAATGTTGTTTCGTCTTATGGTGTCACTTATCTCTCGAATTCTGCCCTCGTGGTCCAGTAGTTGTTTGTCCCTCTTTTGTTCAGCTTCCTTATTCTCTGTCATTTGGTCTTCTATATCGCTAATTCTTTCTTCTGCCTCATTTAGCCTAGCAGTGAGAGCCTCCATTTTTGATTGCACCTCATTAATAGCTTTTTTTGATTTCAACTTGATTAGATTTTAGTTCTTTTATTTCTCCAGAAAGGGCTTTTATATCTCCCGAGAGGGTTTCTCTAATATCTTCCATGCCTTTTTTGAGCCCAGCTAGAACCTTGAGAATCGTCATTCTGAACTCTAAATCTGACATATTACCAATGTCCGTATTGATTAGGTCCTTAGCCTTTGGTACTGCCTCTTGTTCTTTTTTTTGTGGTGAATTTTTCCGCCTTGTCATTTTGTCCAGATAAGAGTATATGAAGGAACAAGTAAAATACTAAAAGGGTGGCAACAACCCCAGGAAAATATGCTTTAGCCAAATCAGAAGAGATCCCAAATCGTGAGGGGGGGGGGGGGAAGGGGAAAAAAAGAGGTTCAGAAAAAAAAAAAAAAAAAAAAAGAAAAAAGAAACAAATAAAAAAAAGAAAACCAATAATGAAAAAAATATAAAAAGGAAAAAATATATATATATTGGATAAACTAGTTAAAAAACGTTAAAAAAGAAAAGGGTAAAAGTTTAAAAAAATTTAGCAGAAGAAGAGAAAAAAATTGAAAAAGAAAAAAAAATTAAATTAACTGCAAGGCTAAAGAATCATGGGGAGAAAGCCATGAGTTCTGTGCTTTGCTTTCTCCTCTGGAATTCCGCTGCTCTCCTTGGTATTGAAACTGCACTCCTCGTAAGTGAACTTGGTCCTGGCTGGGTTTCTTGTTGATCTTCTGGGGGAGGGGCCTGTTGTAGTGATTTTCAAGTGTCTTTGCCCCAGGCGGAGTTGCACCGCCCTTACCAGGGGCCGGGCTGAGTAATCCGCTCGGGTTTGCTTTTGGGAGCTTTTGTTCCCTGAGCGCTTTCCGTAGAGTCCGGAGGACGGGAAGGAAGATGGCGGCCTCCCAGTCTCCGGCCTGGAGGAGCCGAGAGCTAGGGGTCCCACTCCTCAGTGCACCCTCAGGGAACAGCGTCCAATTACTCCCGTCACCCTGGCCTCCGGCTGCGCTCCGAGCTCACCGAGCCTGCGACCGGTTCAAGGTAAGCCCGAGCTGTGAGCTCACTCCTCGGCTCTGTCTCTGTAGCCGGCTTCCCTGTTCTAATACCTGCGAGCTCTGCGACACTCAGACACCCCGATCCTTCTGTGACCCTGCGGGACCTGAGGCCACACTGGCCCCGCGTGGGCTTCACCCCAGTTAAGCCTCTGGAGCGATGTCCCTCAGCGGAACAGACTTTTAAAAGTCCCGATTTTGTGCTCCGTTGCTCCGCCGCTTGCCGGGAGCCGGCCCCTCCCCCCGTGGTCTATCTTCCCATCCCTTTGGATTCACTTCTCTGCCAGTCCTACCTTTCAGCAAGTGGTTGATTTTCTGTTTCTAGAATTGCTGTTCTTCTTCTCTTCGATCTCCCATTGGATTTGTAGGTGTTTGCAATCTTTAGATAAGCTATCTAGCTGATCTCCCGCTACCTGAAGTAGTCTCAGCTGCTACTTCTCCGCCATCTTGACTCCTCCCCTGTTTTATAGTTTTCTCAGTATAGGTCTTTCACCTCTTTGGTTAAGTTTATTCTTAGGTTTTGTATTATTTTTGGTGCATTGTAAATAGGTTTGTTGTTGTAATTTCTCTTTCTGCTGCTTCATTATTAGTGCATTGGAATGCAACAGATTTCTGTACATTGATTTTGTATCCTGCTGCTTTACTGAATTCGCTTATCAGTTCTCGCTGTTTTTTGGTGAAGCCTTTCAGGTCTTCTGTATATAGTATCGTGTCATCTGCAAACAGTGGAAGTTTGACTTCTTCCTTACCAGACTGGATGCCTTTTCTTTTTGTGGTCTGATTACTGGGGAATCCATCAATTTCAGTCTCTTTTGTCCAAAGCCAGCAATCCCTCGCTGATTTTCCCTTCGACACACCAGTGGTTCTCAGTGGCTGCACATTCGTATTACCTGTTGGAGCTTCGATGCCGCGCCCAGCGGAGGGACCCACCTCAAACCAGCTGAGGGAGAACTGCCGTCAGGCATCGTTGTGTGTTACAAAGTGTGCCTGGCGATTCTGATGCACCCCGAGGATTAGAGACCACTGCTGTGACATAGCTGTTAAAAGATTTCAGACCATTAAAAGAAACTCCCCATTCTTCCTGCCTTTACATGGAAACATAATGGGAAATGCACAGACAGAATGAAAAGAAGTCTTAAGGCAGAAAATTTGGCCAGTGCCCGACTGGGCCATTTTCCTGTAGAAAGTTAGAATTATAATGGGGGTGTTTGAAGATGTAGGTTATAAACTCTTCATGGTATGTTTGTCTCCATTTGTTTGAAGTACTTGTGGGTCGGTGATACATAGACTTTGCTTAATCTGTTCTGCCCCGCGAGTCAGGCGCACATCCAAGCGTTTCCTCCTTGTCCCAGGTTTCTGTTGATGTACTCCACAGTTCTATGCAGCTTTTACAATTCGGCCCTCACAACAGCAGTGGTTGGAGCCATCAAGGTAAGCAGGTGAAGCCTTGGGAAACAGGGAACTGGCCGTGAATCCAGTCTTGACAAGAGGAGCAGGGTTCAATTTTATGGTTGTAACGGGGGGGGGGGGGGGGGGGGGGGGGGGGGGGGGGTAGAGAAAGCGTGGAGACTTGTGACCTTCGCAGCTGTACCTGGGTCACCTCTTCTTAGATCTTCTCATCCCCTAATCCATGAACCAGAGGGAGGGCTTGCTAATTTAAAAAGGAGAGACAAATTATGACCTTTAATTCGAGGGTGGTCTCGGAGGGGAGGGTCTGAGAAAATGAAGTAAACAAAGCAGAAAAAAATTTCCAAATCTCTGTATTCACCAAGATGTCTTGTTAGGTGCCTTGTTTGTAAACTTGGTTCTGGGAGAACCTGTTGACTAGGAAAGGGAAGCCTTGTGAAGACCTGTTTTTAATGTAGATATATGCACAATGTATAAGGTACTAAACTCATGGACTGTATGTAGGTGTGTCTGTGTCTGTGTGTCTGAATACACACAGAAGTGAAGAGGAGGGCAGGGTGTTCTGTGCTCTGTCCCACAGTTGCTTTGATTTTCCAATCACACCAATAGAGTGAGTTAGAAAGACTGTCTGCCCTAGCAGTAGACTGTCTGTTGTCCGCCTGGCCCCTCCTAGAATATACAGGGCAGGGCACTGCTTAGAATTTGCTGGATGTCTAATCCATGCAAGTTTAGGGTCCAGTATGATTAAAATTTACCAGCCAGTGATGCTGAAGAGATGGGATCTGGAAAGCTGATTACAGCTCAACGCTTACATCATTTTTTTTTTCTTTTCCTGTGTATTAACTGTAAGAGGCATGAATGATGCAGTGTTCTGTAATTATCATGCCATGGAAAGCCATATGTAATGGTTTTTTCTTCATTCATTCAACATTCTGTGAGCAGCTACTGTGTATGTCTCTGGGCAAAGTAACTAAAATATTTAGTCTCAGGTTTTACCATCTATATGTATTTTCCCCCTAAATCCTTCCCTTTTAAAATGACTAATCCTCTCTCTTTTTCTGCAGAATGTATCCATTGCCTACATTGGAATGTTAGTTGGTGGAGACTATATTTTCTCTATGTTAAACTTTGTAGGGTTAAATATTTGGTGAGTGGGATTTCTAAATGAACTCATTTTAGTAAAATATGAATTTTAAAAAGTGTGATTAATCTGTTGCAAGTGAAGGAACGGGAGGTGTTTTGACATTTTAGTTTCTAAGATAATTTTACTTAAATCACTCCGTTCATCTGTTTTTATGACATGCTCCTTCATGAAGATCATGATGTGTGTGATGAAAATTCAGGGGGCTGAGATCCAAATTTAAGTCATATGTCTTTCTCAGAAAAAAACAAAAACAAAAACAAAACAAAACAAAACAAAACCGTCTAAGTTGTCTGCCTCCCTTTTGTGAAGTGGGCCTTCCTGAGGTCCTGCTCCATCAAAGCACCATACATTAATGATATTGGGAGGAGGGGCTGAGACACTTTTGAAAGGCATTTTGGGGTTCTATGGAACACTGTCTTAGGATAACAGTATAGTTTATCCAGTAATAAACAAATATTTATTTTCTCTCCAAAGTTTTGTATGGGATTGATCTCTTCTTTTTCTGCCTCCAAAGATTTCTAACCAAGAGTGGGTAATTCTCATCAAGCAAGCCACAAGCTAGGAGAAAAACAGGGGTCTCAATCACTCCCTTCTGGCTAGATCTATAAAGAGGTATATTTTGTACAGACCTGGGGATACTACCTGTGAGGTTTATTTATTTCCACTTTTTTTTCTCCTTTCAGCATGGCAGGGGGCTTGAGATACTCCTTTTTAACTCTGAGTGGCCATTTGAACCCTAAACAACCCATGGACGAAGAAAACATTCCTCAGGATTTGAAGAGTTACAATCTGAGGCAAGATTGCAGACCAGGCCCATAGGCGGGGCAGGACGGGGCGGGACTGGGGAGCAGGACGGGGGGCGGGGCATCCCCGCTGTAGGAACCGGAAGCCAGACGTTCTGGTCAGGGACAGCACTCAGCCACTTGGTGAAAGCACGTCTGCCAACTGCGAAGAGAACCTACCTCACGCGCTGCTGCACAGCGAGCCATCGCCAGCCCTCGGAAGCTTATTTGGGCAAAGCCTTACCATCTGAAAGCGAATCTTTCAGAGGAAACCATTGAGGAAAGGGACTGCAACCAAGGATTTTGGGCGGGCAGAGAACTAACTGATTGGTTGGCCAGCCGCATCTCTGAGCTGCTGTCCCCCTGCAGTACCATGTGCGTTTAAGAGGATGGAAATGGCTGACGGTGTGAGAGTCATTATTATCAGCACCTTGGCCTTAATTTCAAGGATCCCAGCCAAAGCAGAGTGCCAGTGAGAACAGTTTTCTTTTCAGTTTAAACAAACATGTCCTTACTTTAATAAAATTAGCCCATCAACTACAAGTTAGTTGTTAGCTCTGATTTCATCATATATGTTGATATATTTTCCCGATCATCAAAGTAAAATAAAAATAATTTATAGACAGGTGTCATACTGTGACATTATTTAGATAGGCAGAAAGACTCTGCCTGAAGGGTGATATTCCTTTTAAGACTCATGCTGGAAACTATTACAAAATAACTCAATGGGAAAAACAACAGCAACAACAACAACAAAACAAAAAACAAAACCCCAAAAAACTCTCCATGTGCCCTGCTCACATTTAAGTAGCTCATATTTCTCTCCCCATCTCCCCAGGTTGTTCAGGGGCCTTTGAAATTCCAATCACCTTGATTTTAACCAAAGGTACATTTCATCATAGATTAATCTGACCTCCCAGACCAGTGATATGTGGGAAGGAGCCCTGAATGGATAAGCATTATTATTTTCATTTCCATCAAGGAATGGACTGGGGTGCCTGGCTGGCTCAGTTGGAAGAGCATATGACTCTCGATCTCAGGGTCATGAGTTTAAGCCCCACACTGGGTATGGAGCCTACGTAAAACAAAGAAATGGGCCATCCTTGTTGGGGTTGTGGTGTAGGGTAAGGCTCCAGTCTGGGCAACAGGAGCCTTGTAATCCCATCTCTGCCACTACCCACCTGATACCTTCTCAGGTTACCTTGCTATTGTGACCTCCATTATTTTAATCTGTAAAGTTGAACTGGATCTCCAAACCCTTGCTAGCTTTCACTTTCTAAGTTTCTAGAAGCTGAGTCAGATGTGGGGCAGAGCAGCAAATGAAGGAGTGATTGTATTGATGCATTGTTTCCAATTATCTTTCAAAAAAAATTTAGTTTTAATTGTAAAACTAATAGAACATAAAATTTACTATCTTAACCATTGCTAAGTGTATAGTTTGGCAGTGTTAAGTATATTCATATTGTTGTGTAAACAATCTCGAGAATATTTCCATTTTGCAAAACAAACTCTGCACCCATGAAACGGTAACTCAGCACAGCCCCTGGCAACCATCATTCTACTTTCTGTGTCTATGAATATGACTACTCTAGATATCTACGTGGAATTGCACAGTGTTTGTCTTTCGGTGCCTAGCTTACTTTACTTAGGGTAATGTCCTCAAAGTTCATCCTTGTAGCAGATGTCAGAATTTTCTTCCTTTTGAAGGCTGAATAATATTCCACCATATGGTTGGCTATACCACATTTGGGTTACCCATTCATCATCTATCAATGGACACTTGGCTATTTATGAATAACTCTGCTAAGAGCATGGGTGTACTCATGTGTCTTCGAGACCCTGCTTTCAATTCTTTTGGATATTAAAATTTGTTTCCTTTATATTCAGAACACTTTTGACATCAAACGTGTGGAGTTTTTCCCTCCTATCAAGGAATTCTCCTACTCTCTGGACTCCAACTACATGTCCAACAATTCAATTCAATTCTAACTGCCTGGAGCTAGGGCAGACCCCGCAGGTGAAGGGTTCAGTCCCATAAAACTGCCTCCACTTCAGATGCCAATCCCAAGTCCCAGGTTGTGACCTATGCTTCTAACCAATTGGCCATGAATCAGGGGTTTGCGCACTCCCTCCCTCAGTTTGGATACTTTGCTGGAATGGCTCACAGAACTCAGGGAGAGTACTTAAGTCTCTGTTACTGGTTTCTTACAAAGAATACAGCTCTGCAACAGCCAGAAAGAAGAGATGCATAGGAAGAGGTGTGTGGGAAGGATCTTGGAGCTTCCATGCCCTCTCTGGGCCTACCACCCTCCCACACACTAATGACCTTGCCAGCCCCAAGTTCTCTAAACCCCACAGTCCGGGCATCCTTGCCATTTCCTATAGCAGCTGAATCATTTTACATTCGTGCAAGGGTTCCAGTTTCTCCACATCTTGTCTAACTTGTCATTTTCTGGGGGGCTTTTTGTTTGTTTTGTTTTTGTGGTAGCCATTCTGATGGGTGTGAGGTGATTGTGTCATTGGAGTTTTTTTTTTTTATAATCATTTTTTTAATTTATTTTCAGCATAACAGTATTCATTGTTTTTGTACCACACCCAGTGCTCCATGCAATCCGTGCCCTCTCTAATACCCACCACCTGGTTCCCCCAACCTCCCACCCCCCCCACCTCTTCAAACCCTTCAGATTGTTTTTCAGAGTCCATAGTCTCTTATTGTTCACCTCCCCTTCCATTTGGAGTTTTGATTTGTATTTCCCTAATTCTTGGTGATGTTGGACATTTTTAATGTGCTTGTTGGTCATTCGTATGTCTTTAGAGACGTGGCTTTCTAAATCCTTTGCCCATTTTTGAATTGGGTTGTGTGTTTTGTTGTTGAGTTCTAGGAGTCCTTCATTGGTTAACCTTACTTTGGAAAGACTTCTAGAGTGTGAGGTGGGGCCCCCGAGCTGTTGTGTCCACCTCCTCCTGCGTCTTGAGCATCAGTCCTGAAGCCCAGAGGCCAAAAATGCTAAGATTTGAAAACTGTGAACACCCACTTCTCATTTTCTCAGTGACAAAACAAAATGGCAGCACATTTTTGCTTTCTTCCAACAATTTTTTTCTGGTTTTTATTTTCTGAATACTTGAAGATGATTTTGTGTTTTTCTACTCTTAATATGGTCAACCTTTGTTTGTTTTCATAGCCAGGATGCCTTGTTGGGGATTCTTACTTAGTTTTTTTTCTTCTGCAATCACCCTGAATCTTTTTCTTGGACTTTTCTTACATGACCCTTTCTTTTTACCTTTCTGTGGAGACTTCTCCTGCTTCCGTGTGTGGCCAGCAGAGGGCACACGAAGAGCAGCCTGGCAGCATTTGCAGTTTCTAGAAGATCCCTAAAGACCCAGCTTCCGGCGCGGAGATGGTGGTGGGAGATCCAATCTGGTTTTTGAATTAAGATTAGTTGAGGAAGCTGGGTGTGGAGAGGTGGTATGAAAGGGATTCATGAGATCAAGGAGGCTAATGAGGAAATGTAGCCTCATGCCTCAGGTCTCCAGATTTCTTTTTTTCTCACTAAAAGATATTGTAAAAGCCATCCTGGATAGGACAAAGAAAATTAGTTTAATATCGTTGATATCTGGCTTACTTCTGCCTATTGTATTGCAAATAACAGTGACACCATTTGTTAACTTGGACTTTTTCCTGATGTTTTAATATTTTCCCTGCATATCAAATGTATCTCAAATACATGGCCACTGGAGTTTTGGACAGCTGAGTTTCCTTAAAGAATTGAACTTAGTTTAGAGAAGAGTTATATATTATATGTATAATGTATTTATATACATATACACACAGTTATATTTGTAGTATGTGTCCCTCAGGAAAATGGTGAAGTCAATAATATGTCAATAATTCCAGAGTGTTAAGTCAGTTCTTTTTTTTTTTCCCCACAATGGTTTGAATTTAGTTTTCTCCTTTCTTTTCAACTTCATTGTTTTTCAGCTACGAAATAAGCTTAAAACCACAGGTTTGGGTGTACCCTCTGTGAGAGCACAGGTGTTTGTCTCGGCTGAGGGATAACATCTGGTCACAAAGCACACTCCGATGCTGGAGACCCCGGACAGTGCATCATCTGCCGGGAGTAACTGGGCAGAGCCTGCCACAGACGCAGATGTTGCCTGGACAAGCTGTCCTAAGGATTGAGGAAGAGCAAGATCGAGGAGAGGGAGCAGATCGCTAGGGAGAAGAGTGCCCACACTCGGAAGCCACTCTTCATCGCACTCCTTCATATCCTCAATTACTTCTACAACTAACTGGTGAATACCATCAGTCTCGGCTTCTTGTTGTAAAACCTTCTCTATGACTAGATTAGAGTCTGGAAATTTCAACCTCTTTTCCTTTGATTTGCCCCACTTCATCCAACAGGCTGTTGATTTCACCGATTAGGCACTGATTTTCTTTTCCAAACATTTGTATTTCTTCTGGGGATAATTCATTTCTCCTTGGCTGTCTCTCTGGGAGCCGGATTCAGGTTGTGCTTTGCTCAGAGTCTTGTTTGGACATTCTCAGGGACAGATGACTGGTCCAGATCACACTCCTAGTATTGGGTCTTAGTCAGGCATTCATAGGCTTTAGGGGTCAGGGGAATGGGGATAGGGAAAGAATACGTCTTGATTTTCTCTAACCAAATTTAGCATTTTTCACTGGAAAATGTAGACAAAACCATGTATTAACTGTATTTCTGATTTTGTTGTCAGGATATTGAGATAAATATTGAATATTGAGAAAATATTGAGATATTTTCATGTCACTGTAGAGTTTCTGCAGAAAAATCATTTATGTCCCACTGAGGATTCTAAATGATTAGACCTTCCACTAGTTCTTGCTATTTAATATGTTCCCAAAGAAGCAGATGTTCAGTATATCATATTTAGAAAATACCGTGATAGGTTTTTTTTTTGGTAATTGGTTTCCTTTATATTTTTATGCATTTTTAAGAAAAGATTTTATTTATTTATTTGTCAGAGAGAGATCACAAATAAGCAGA